TCTGCCGCAGGGTAACACAGAGACGCACAAAGACATACAACCATGCATATTAACAATTTACAGAAGCCAATTAACCTAATAGTGATGTTTTTTGGGCTGTGGGATGAAGCCAGAGTACCTGGAGAGAACCGGTGCATGCACAGGGATAACATGCAAACTCCATAGAGAAAAGCCAGGATTCAAACCTGCAACCTTCTTGCTGCATGACGACAGCTCCACCGTGCAGCCCTCTCTCACAAGTCTGTTTTGGAAAACTGATCCTGCTTTCAAGCTTTTTTATCTGACTGAGACCAACATCACTGTCATTCCCCTCAATTCCTCTTTGGATCCACAAAATATATATTTTGAATTAAACTGTATATTTTGTTCTATTGCTGATATTCATATTTAAATGTTATTCTTCATGTATGTTGTGTAAAATCATTTGTATTTCTTCAACCTCTTGAAAAATAGAGATTATTGATTTACACATCCTTTATTCATTCATTTAGATCTAAATATTTCAATCTGAAAAACTCACAGAGAGAGAAAGATGCAATTAGAAGAGTTTATTGATACGATAGTTTGAACTTTGGCGCTCAGGCCTCGGCAGGAAACATAAACGCTGATTTATACTTTAATGCAGATAAACTGATGTATGAGAATAAGGATATTCCCCCCGGGCCTGAAACTGGTGGTGGAGTTTAGATAGATGAAGTTTGGTTAATCCATAGAGGCTGGTATACAGGGTGATGCTTGAGTTAGATGTCACTGAATGAACAAAGTTTGCATAAACTGTCCATGAAGAGCAAGCATGAAGCGACTGTGGAGAGAAAAAACTCCCCTTTGGGAAGAAATCTCTAGCAGAACCAGGCTCAACGTGGCGGTCTTCTGCCGGACCGTTTAAAGTGACAGGGAACTCCATGAAAGTCTGGAGGGAGTACACACTGGAGGTGAGGTTGAAGGAGCATCGAGGAGGAGTCGGATGAGCTTACTACAATGGTGGAGAAGGGGATGGAGGTGGGTTGTCTGAATCAAAGTCTGACATAGGAGCGATGGATCTTGCGCTTGTTGAAGAGCAGGCCTAGAGATGATTTGGAGTGGCTTTAAGTAGAGTGCTAGAAGATGATTGGGCATCAAGGAAAGTGGCTTGAAGCGGGTTGGCTGCGTCGGAGGCGGATCAGCCTCAGATTGAATGGAAGTAATCAGAGTTTCTTCAGTTGAATTTCCGCCTTAGCTTCATTTCAATCTGAAAAACTCACAGAGAGAGAAAGATGCAATTAGAAGAGTTTATTGATACGATAGTTTGAACTTTGGCGCTCAGGCCTCGGCAGGAAACATAAACGCTGATTTATACTTTAATGCAGATAAACTGATGTATGAGAATAAGGATATTCCCCCCAAAAATTGCCGAGGTTCAGGCCTGAGCGCCAGCATATGCAGAAAGCGGAGGGAGAAGGATGAGTATAGGAGGACTTCATTATGCACAGGCTGATACACGTGGTAAATGAATAATCATGACAGGGATCATAGCAGAGAGCATGGTAGAGAGAAAATAAGGGAGTTTTGCAGAATGCTTAGCAGGGTGCATTGCAGGAAGCATAGGAACATTGCAGGAGCATAGCAGAAAGCAAGGCAGGAAACGACAGGGGATGTGGCGAGGAAGCATGGTTGGAAACACACAGGGAGCAAGGCCAGGGACCACAGGGAGCATAGCAGGGAACATGGCCGGGAACAAGGCCGGGGACCACAGGGAGCATGGCAGGGAACACACAGGGAGCATGGCAGGGAACAAGGTCAGGGACCACAGGGAGCATGGCAGGGAACAAGGCCAGGGACCACAGGGAGCATGGCAGGGAACAAGGCCAGGGACCACAGGGAGCATGGCAGGGAACAAGGCAGGGGACCACAGGGGGCATAGCAGGGAACACACAGGGAGCATGGCAGGGAACAAGGCCAGGGAGCATGGCAGGGAGCACACAGGGAGCATGGCAGGCAGGTAAAGTGGCAGGGATCACACGGGGAGCGTGGCAGGGCGCATGGCAGGGAACATGACTCACGGAGAGCATAGCGGGAAGCATGGCAGGAAACACCCAGGGAGCATGGCAGAATGCAAGGCAGGGAACACACAGGGAACATAGCAGGGTGCGTGGCAGGGAGCAATGATTTAGCAAAGATGAGAATAAATTTTAAACCACCACCAGTATTCGAAGTTAGCTTACCTTACAGACAGAGAGAGCGTTGAGCTGCTAAGATTGAAGAGTGTTCAGGGCGGATATAGGATTTATAGGCTGAAAAAGTCTATCGGCCCAACTGCTGGAGGGAAGCCACAGAGACACCACGAGCAGCTGTTTTGTGGCTGCCCCTATCCTAAATGAGTGGCTGGAATAATGACTGGATGAAAAGCCACAGGATTCTAATAATATTCTGAGATGGTCTTGGAACCAGCGTGGTGATGCGGGAGAACCCTTGCGCGTGACGAAGTGGCTTGAAATGAGTGAAAAACTTTTGGTGCTTTTGAACAGATTAAACATGGTGATAAACGGGCAAAAGGGGCCATCTGTATGTAAGATAGAAATAAAACAAGGGCCTTTCCTTTAGAATGATTCAAGATATTTGTAAGATCGATGTGGAAACGAAGATCCGAAAGAGACAAATGCCGGGAAGGATCGAAACGACTATTAGTTGAAGTGAAGCTAAACCTGATTTATGTAGAAACTGGAGGAAGTAAGTACGAACGAAGAGAGTAGGTTAGTTAAGGATGAGTTCTTCTAGCGGAGGAACGGGGGTCGGAAGGAGATCGGCAGAAGGACGAAGATGTGGAAGGTCTGAAATTTAAAACGAGAAAGAGCATCAGCAGCATGGTTAGAAAGACCAGGAACGTGTCGAGCAGAGATGATAGAGTTGTAAGAGACTGCTGCCAAGTTATGCCTCTAATGAATGGCATGAGAGATTGAGAGGAGGAGCGACCTTAGAGATGGCGTCAACGACTGCCATGATGTCGCAGAAGCGGATATGCGCATTCTCCTCCAAAGCGGGCCCCGCAGACGGCAAGCTACGGCTAAAGGTAAACCTCGCATAGCGCAGATGACTGAGAACTAGTAAAAGAGGGAGGCCATGAACCAGCAAACACCTGTCCTGAAAGAAACCCCCCAAAACCTACGGATGGGGCAGCATCCGTGAAAAATTGGAGCGTGTCAGCGTTTGAATGATGTCATCGAAAATAATTTGCCATTCCGTTTACAAGAAGTCTAGCCCAGAAGAAAGGATCGGAACGGCAACCTTCGTCCAGAGAAACCTAATCTAAGAGAGAGGGAACAGAGTTAGCTAGGTCAAGCAGTCGGGAAATGAAGGAACGACCATGATGCGCACAGCAAAATTAAGGTGACCAAGCAAAGAAGCAACTGATGTTTGGAAATAATTGATGCAGAGCTATAAGACTGAGAAATCTCACGAATCTTAGACAGCTTGTCTGCGGGCAGGGATGCCATCATGGCCACTGAAACGAGAGCTATGCCTAGAAACACAATTTTGTAACAGGGCCGATGGTTTTTCTTCGGACAGGGGAACACCAAGTTGGTTAAGAGCTTTTAGTTTAAGGAGTAATGAACTGGGCTGTGGGGGAGGATCTATGCGTAGGAAACCATCCTGAGATGAAGAACGCATGGCAAATGAGTAACATTAAGGAGAATCCAACACAGAGCTTCTGAGATTTGTCAAACAGACAAGGACTGCCCCTGCAGCGGAAGGTGAGACTGACAGCAAAGTAGAACAGAGACTTCCATTTAGCTCCGAACAGGTGCCATTGAGAAGGGTGAATGAAAATAATTTTGTCTGCTTTGGCCAGCCAGGCCCCTTGGCCGGTGGTCTTAATGAAAGAAATAGCGTGGTCTACAGAAGCGTAGTGAAGAGAAAAGGAGGAAAGAGGGAAGAGGCTATTTATGGAGGAGTGACGGCCAGAATGAGGGGCAGATAAGTCCAATATGAGCCTCTTTTTCCCGGAATATAGCGGGTAGCTACCACTAGGGGGCTCACACGAAAGGGAGCACACAGAGAATGTTTTGAAAGGACTGTAGTGGCAATTGTTTGTCAAACCAAACATCCAATAAAATTCCAATAAGCCACTATAGGCACTGGGGTCACGTTTTCTTGACGCAGGCAAAAGAAGTGGAAGTCCAAACTTGTAGATGTTTTGTTGATTTATTTCCTATATTTTGTCACATTACAGAGTTCACACTTTCCTTGCTCTGTCACCTCTCTTGCACTGGTAAAAACCCATAGGCCCCTAACCCAAATGCCTGCTGGTCCTTACCAGGCTCCTACAATTATAGAAAGTGGACCGCCCACATTTCTTCCTGTTTTACATAAAATAAAGAAAAATAATAAAACAACAAAAAAAATAGATGCACAAAAATGCAACAATTAACCTATAAATTAAGTCTGTAAATAATACAAAAAATATATAAGTTTAGGAATTAACACAATTCAAAAAAGAAATAAAGAATAAATAGCTCCAACACTCCGGCCCCTAATTGTGAATACTGTCACAATTACAAATGAAAAAAAAGGAGCTATTCCCTCAAACATGTCCTTAATTCCTCAGGTTGATGCTTCCAGTAGCAAAACAAGTTTGGTCACGGGTCTTTCGAGAACGCTGGTCTTTGTTTGTAATCGCACAGAGCGGACCAAGCCTTTTGCATCCTGGTTTACACTCAAGACCTTGGCCATCATCCATATTCCTCTTGTAGCTGTAGAGTCTGCAATTAAGACAACATCTCCAGGAGTGAGACATCGTTTAGTTCTTGTCCATTTTTGTCTTTCCTGCATCAGAGGTAAGTACTCAGAAAGCCATCTTTTCCAGAACAGCTCTGCCATGTATTGCACCTGTTTCCACCTTTTCCTGACAAAAATACCCTTTTGATTGAACAATCCTGGTGGCAAAACTGGTTTGGTTTTTAACAACAACAAATGGTTGGGTGTTAGTGCCTCAAGATCATTTGAGTCATCTGAAACTTTAGTGATGGGTCTGTCGTTTAATATGGCTTCAACTTCACAAAAAATTGTTTGAAGCCCTTCATCATCCAAAACTTGCTCTTTAAGAACTGAAACCAAAATACTTCTTATGGAACGAATCAGACGCTCCCAAACTCCACCTTGGTGAGAGGCTGCTGGGATGTTAAAGTTCCATTTAATTCCATCCTGCACAAAAGCATTTTGAATTTTAGCATGATTCAGTTCAGCTAAACTCTCTTTCAGCTCTCGATTTGCACCAACAAAATTTGTGGCATTGTCAGATCTGATGGTGGAAACTGGGCCTCTTCTACAGATAAACCTGCGGACTGCATTTATACAGGAATCTGTATCGAGGGTGTAGGCCATTTCCAGATGCACTGCACGGCTGGTGAAACAAGTGAACAGAACTCCATACCTTTTCAGGAGGCTTCGTCCTCTTTTAACACTTACAGGACCAAAGTAATCCACTCCAACATTTGTAAAAGGAGCGGTGGCTGGCAGGACTCTTTCTTCTGGCAGATCTGCCATCTTTTGTTCAATAAACTTTCCTCTGTTACACCTGCAAACAACACAGTGAGAAATGATTTTTCTGGCAGCTGAATTAGCATTTATTATCCAGTATTTTTGTCTTAATCTTGACAGCATATGAGCTCTTCCTGCATGTCCCAACTGTTGATGAATATGGCGTAAAATCAGTGTAGACACATGCATATCCTTTGTCAAAATTGCAGGATGCTTTGTTTCGACAGGCATGGCTGATTTATTCAACCTGCTACCCACTCTGAGGACTCCAGCATCCAATACTGGGTCGAGTTTGTATAAAGAACTTCTCTTAGAGACTGCTTTAAGGCCACTGGTGATTAAAGCCAGTTCAGTTGTAAATTTCTGTTGTTGTGCAAACTGAATAATAGCTAGTTCTGCCTTGGCCAAGTCTTCAGGAGTCAAATTTTCTTTCTTCAGAGTGGTCTTGAATCTTTCTATCTGCTTGTCTAGGGCTTTGTTTTGCTTTTCTGGTTCATTTTTATTTATGTCTGCAGCAGCAAACTCCTTCCTTTTCTGTTGCAACAGCATCAGAATGTTTTTCAGCTTTAAAAAACCAAGCAACAGAGGTTTTAAGCTTTGTCCAAGATGAAAAATAATGAATCAGATAGCTTGTAGGATTTTGTGACTCCTTCACAAGAACACTCACGGCTAGGTCCCTTTTGACCTCTGGGTCATCTGCAGGAATTGCATGGTGATCCACATCCAGTTTAGGCCATTCCTCTTCTGATCTGTGGAGAAATTCAGGCCCATTTATCCATCTCCTGCATTTAATGAACTCCTCAGCTCTCATACCTCTGGATGCATCATCTGCAGGATTTTCCTTGGAGGAAACATATCTCCACTGATTCACATCTGTTGCTTCTCGGATGACAGAGATCCTGTTTGCAACAAAGGTGTGAAATCTTCTGGTTTCACTGGAGATGTATTTTAATACTGTTGTACTATCAGTCCAGAAAACAGGTTTTTCCAATTGTATTTGCAGCTCCTTTTGCAGCAGTTTATTGACTCGGACAGCAAGAACAGCAGCGGTCAGTTCCAACCTGGGGATTGTTGTTTGCTTCATAGGAGCAACTCTTGCTTTTCCTAGAATGAAAGCAACATGTGAGATGTTATTCTTTTCCAGTTTTAAATATGACACTGTTCCATAGCCGTCTTGACTTGCGTCAGAGAAATGATGAAGTTGTGCTTTGTCTGGTTTCCTGATGCAGCTTGGTTTGATGCAACGATCCACCTTAAAACTGGAGATCAGCTGGAGGTCCTCCAGCCAGTCGAGCAACTTCCTACAAAGAGAATGGGGAATAACTTCATCCCACTTCAAGTTTTGTCGACAAAGTTCTTGTAGCAGCAGTTTAGCTGGCATACTGAAGGGAGCTAGGATTCCCAAGGGATCATATAGTGAACTAACCACAGACAAAATGCCCCTTCTGGTCTGTGGGCGGTCCTGCACAGAGGTTCTGAACTTGAACTCATCTGTTTCGATGCTCCACTGTAAACCCAGTACTCTCTCGACCGGAAGTTCATCTGTGTCCAAATCCAGATTCTTAATTTCTTTTGCTCTCCTTTCCTCTGGAATGGACATGAGCACTGTGCGACTGTTGCTTACCCATTTTGAGAGCACGAATCCTCCCTTAGAGCAGAGGTCCGTCAGCCTCTTCACCATGTGAATTGCATCTTCTTCTGTGGGAACAGATTTTAAACAGTCATCCACATAAAAGTTATTTTTGATAGTATCAACCACTTCAGCTGGAAACTGTTGTGCGTTATCATCAGCAGTTCTTTGCAGAGCATAATTTGCACAGCTGGGTGAAGACACTGCTCCAAACAAATGAACCAACATCCTGAACTCCTGTGCAGGTTTTGATGTGTCACCATGATGCCACCACAGGAAACGGAGGAAGTTGACATGTTTTTCAGAGACATAAACTTGGTGAAACATGGCGTTAATGTCAGCCATTAGTGCAACAGGCTCTTTTCTAAATCTAATGAGAACTCCAACCAGAGAGTTTGTGAGGTCAGGTCCCTGTAAAAGCTGACTGTTCAGTGATGCTCCTTTGTAGGTTGATCCACAATCAAATACAACTCTCAACTTTCCTTTTGTGGGATGATGCACTCCATGATGAGGAATGTACCACAGTTGTCCATTACCTTTCTGTAGGTCCTCTGCTGGTACAGCCTCAGCATGTCCTTGCTGCAGCATGTTGTTTACACATGCAGTGTATTCCTCCTTGTACTCAGCATCCTTTTCAAATCTCCTTCTGAGGCTCTGGAGGCGCTGCTCTGCAACACAGATGTTATTTGGAAAGCAGGGGCTTTCACTCCTGAAAGGTAAGTCAATATTATAATGACCTTTAATAAGTTTTGTAGAGTTATTGACAATGTTCATGAAATGCAAATCCTCTCTAGACATTTCAGTTTTCTCCTCTGATGATCTTTCGTTAAAATCATGATTGTACTGTTTGATCAGCATTTCTTCAAGATGCTCAACAGAGATCCTGTTGGCTGTCACAGCAGTGCAAACATTTCTATTTTTGCTGTGGCTTCTAGTGCGCAGGGGACCATTTATGACCCAGCCAACTTTAGTTTTTACAGCATAAGGCCCACCATCTACACTGTTGATCACCTCCCAGGGCTCTAAAACATTTGAAGCATCAGTTCCTATCAGTAGTTCCACATCTGCATTGATGCTATGAAGCTTAACAGGTTTAAGATGAGGCCACTGATCAATGTCCTTTTGCTGGGGAATATTCAATGTAGAAACTGGCATGGTACTTTGAGTCAAAACATCTGGTAGCTCTATGAAATCATTTGTTTCCAATTCAGAGATTTCCAAACCAGACAAAACTTGTACATTAACAATCTTATTTTGACTCATTGTTCTCAGCATAATATTTGTTCTTTTGCCCTTTAAGTTCAGACTTTTTGCCAGAGTTTCTGTACAGAACGTACCTGAACTTCCTGGATCAAGAAATGCATAAGTTTGCACAACTTTGTTGCTCTTTTGACTTTTAACTTTAACTGCAACAATAGAAAAAACAGCATTATCATCATGACCGGCCCCAATATGCCCACATGTCTGGGTGGTTGCAGTTGAGAAGTTGACATGAGACCTTGTTGTCTGTTGGATTTGTTCTGAAGAGGCTCCTGTCTCCTTTTGCTCTATGTGAAGAACCCCTGGATGCTTTTGGTGACACACATTGCAATCCAAACGACTCCTGCAGTCTTTGCTTGTGTGACCAACTTTCAGACAACCGAAACAAATCCCCTTTTGTTTAATGAAAGTCAACTTGTCCCGATGCATTTTAGCTTTAAACTACACACAGTTTTCCAGTAGATGATTTCTTTGTAAACAAAACAAGCAGCTGTGAAGAACAGTAGACTTGGCCCTGTTTTCAGTTGAGTGAGTTCTGGCTTCTGGAATTGTGCTGACATTAGTGGCAAAACTGCTTCCCTTTTTTCTTTGCTTGCTGTAACTTGGAACTTTGGAGTTGTTCCCTGTTGGTGGGTCTTGGATATTGCCAAACACTGGATCTGATGCTACTTTTACTTCCTTTGTTATGAAAGCAACCAGATCAGTAAACAACGCTCGGTGACCAGTTTGCTCCTGTAGCTCATAAGCAGTAACTCTCCATTTTTCCCTCAGTTTATATGGAAGTTTCAGGACAATTGTTCTCATATTTGAAGGTAAATCCAACTCCTTCATGTAAACAATTTGTTGTGTCAGATTTGAACAACCTTGAAGAAAAAGAGAGAATGATTGTAGACTTTTCACATCATCCCCTTTTATTGGTGTCCAACTCATAATCTTCTCCATATACGCAGAAGTTATTTTATTTTCATTTCCAAAATGTTCTTCAAGAAGATATTTGGCTTTGGAATAACCTTCCTCAGGAGCTAAGTGTTGACAACTATGCACGAGATCTTTAGGCTGCCCCCTGGTGAACTGCTCTAGGAAGTGCAAACAGTCGCTGCAGTTGTCAGTTTTAGCCTCCACTCCGTTCTCAAAGGCATTCATAAATGATCTGTACTGTAGGGGGTCCCCATCAAACACAGGGATGTTTCTGGATGGGAGAACAGACGATAAGTTTTGTTTTACTAGTAAAGCTGCAATGTCATTTGTCTTTGCATGATGTTCACAATATCATTCTGACAGTTCTCAGTCAAAGGAGGAGATTGAAATTGCGTCTGCTCTGTTGCTTGAGTTGAAGAATCAACTTTAACTCTCATCTGATCCATTTGAACTTGTCTCTCTCCTTGTTTAAGTCTGACAACAGGGAAGTTGGATGAAGACTTTAATTTTTCTTTCAGAACAAACTCATCAGCGAGAGGATTTAGCAGGGGCGTGTGCTTTTCTTGGGCTCTTTCAAAATAAGAGTTCATCCCATCAGATTGTTTAGAACTAGCAACTGAATTTATTTTTAATACATTAAGTTTTGCGTTAGTTGCTGCCAACTCTGTTTCCAGGTCTAACTTTTCCTTTTCTTTTCTCAGGTTTTCCTCTTGAGCTTCGATCAGATGTTTTCTGTCCAACGCGGCGAGTCTCTCCATCAGCGCTGCCTTTTCAGCTGCAGCTTTGATGCGTGCAGAAGAGGTGGATGAAGCCCGAGACTGCTGTGAAGATGTTTTTGAACGTGGCTTTATGCTTGTAATATTAGAAACACTGTCTTCAGGATTTATTTCATCAGGATCTTCAACAACCTGATCATCAACATAGTTTTTCTGTTCCATATATGGATTTCCTGCTTCTGTCAACCAAACCTTTACATTGTCCACAAAATCAGAGAAAGTCGTCACCTTGGACTGAAAATACACAGTTTGTCTTTTTACTTCTTCTTCTGGCAACGGCAAACCTAAAAGTGATTCATGTAAATCAGTTGCGTCTTGATAGCATTTAATAAACTTTGCAAAGTCAGAAGCCACTTTCTCAACATTTTCTTGTGAGGTCATTAATGCAGAGATTTTCTCCATACATTTTGAAGCTTGTTTACACTTTAAACTTCGTTTTTCTTGACATGTTTTTATATAAAACTCCAAACCCTTTTGTGTAAATTTTATGGTTCTTTTGTTTTGTGACGTTTGGGTGTCATCCTCTTTGCTCTTTACATCAGACATTTTTGCAGATTCTTTGGATCATTTCAAACATTTAAAGCGTCATAGTCCATGAATAATCCACAAGGAAAAGCACAAACGTATCTCTTTGTTTAAAGAGATTGATTCTTGTGAACAAACATTTCCATGATGGGCGTCGGCTCACGGCTTGATCCAATTACGCATCAATTTGTCACATCAGACTCATCTCATCAGTCTTTGGAGTGAAATAATGTCTTTAAACTCCAGTAGTTTCACTATTTTCCTTTATAGCTTGAACAATATTGTCACATACCAGCTTGATGAATGAGTGACGTGTCCATCCAAGTCTGACGCATCAAGTCGCTTGATTTAATCAAAGATGATCCAAAACATTTTGTTTGATGGGAATCCTTAAGATCCATAAATCCAGCATGTTGATTGATGAGGTATTCCTTTTAGTCCATGGGCTGGTTCCTTACTTGTTCCACAGGGTGTTTTTACTTGATCCACAGGTGGGTTTTTACTTGATTGTAGTGGCAATTGTTTGTCAAACCAAACATCCAATAAAATTCCAATAAGCCACTATAGGCACTGGGGTCACGTTTTCTTGACGCAGGCAAAAGAAGTGGAAGTCCAAACTTGTAGATGTTTTGTTGATTTATTTCCTATATTTTGTCACATTACAGAGTTCACACTTTCCTTGCTCTGTCACCTCTCTTGCACTGGTAAAAACCCATAGGCCCCTAACCCAAATGCCTGCTGGTCCTTACCAGGCTCCTACAATTATAGAAAGTGGACCGCCCACATTTCTTCCTGTTTTACATAAAATAAAGAAAAATAATAAAACAACAAAAAAAATAGATGCACAAAAATGCAACAATTAACCTATAAATTAAGTCTGTAAATAATACAAAAAATATATAAGTTTAGGAATTAACACAATTCAAAAAAGAAATAAAGAATAAATAGCTCCAACAAGGACCAATCGTGAAACTCTTGGACACAACTTGTGAAGCAGCTGATCTACGACGTATGGTTCTTTTAAAGCGGATTGGAGATTAGGGGGGGCAGGGGGTGCAGACTCCGAAAAGAAAACCTTGAATGAAGGTTGAATGAAGAATGAAGTTGACGAAAGTGCGGTCGGCTGATGGGTAAGATAAATTGCCAGTTCAGAAATAATGACGGGCGTAGAAGATGACGGGCTATTAATGTTTGAAGGTATGATTTCTCATGAACAGAATACGACGGGGACAGACGGACTTGGGATGCGCATCCTAGCAAAGCTGCAAATGTGGAGAATATGCAATTAGGAAAGGTGCATGTACTTTCATTAAACTTATTACAGATGGGTCTGGAATTGAATATCTGGACGTTTCTACCTCGGCGGTCTGTGGGCTGGGCAAGTGTAGAAGAGAACGGAGGAGGAATAGATTGAATGCTAGACTTAAAGGGTATAGATGGGCAAAACGCGCTCGGATGATTTGAAACAGCTGTAATGTCACCTGCTGAGGCGACTTGATGTTCAACTTCACAGAAGGGGAGGGTGAGTGAGACTAAATTAACATATTTCCCTTATATAATATTGGAACAGGCAAGGAGAAACGTTAGAATACATAGAAATATATAAACTGCCTGGATGGAAAGGGCGGGGGAAGCATAATGAGCAGAATGAAAGTGGCTTGAAGCGGGTTGGCTGCGTCGGAGGCGGATCAGCCTCAGATTGAATGGAAGTAATCAGTTTCTTCAGTTGAATTTCCGCCTTAGCTTCATTTGGATTATATATCAGGGGTAATTACACAAAAGTTCCTATTTTTAAACCATTATAAAAGTGACATTTATTTGCTATTAAAATTGGTACAATAGTCCCCTTCACAAGTATATACAGATGTAGCATGTTGAAATCCCCACCTACACTACTGTGACGGTCTACACGTGGAAGACAGATTTAAAAAATGACCCAAAAAACATAGCTTGGCTAATGCCCTTTGAAAAGGAAGGTTTTATTGAGCTTCTGTGTAATGTACAAAAGAACGTTGTCCACAAGGCCATCAAAGCGGACAGGAAGGTAGCTGTGGTCATGTACTAGTGCAGGAATGTCAGCAAACGGGGATGGAAGATCTTCTCCTCCTGCTTACACATTATATAACCTGCAGAAACAAAAACAAAAGTGACCAACAACAATTCACGGTGTATAAGATTGGTATATCAATATGTGATTAAATTTCAATGATACACATGCCCTTTGAAGATGAGCTGAAATGTTTGGCACAACACCATCTTTAAGTCGGACAGTCTGCCCTGTTCAGTCAAAATCCTCACTCCTGAAGTGCAGTGAAGACGCCTGTCATTTGCAGCAAAACCGTCCCTTCTGAGGGCAAGTTCCCACAGCCTCCTCATCTCTCTGTTTTTGGGAAACCTTAAAAACGTGAGAAATGTTCCCAGATGTATAAATTATTGTCAACATTTCCAACCCTTTTTCGTTCTTTCAACATTAAGGATAAGCACAAAAAGACACACCTAAATGAAATTTGTTTGGGGTAATTGTATGTATGTATGTATGCACTTGAAAATAACACAACCACACTAAACTACTTATAAAAAGTTGTCCAAATGAAACTAATACAAACTTATAAAAGCTTTGAGTCAACAACAATCTTGTAATACTATTATGTCATAGCAAAAGTCTGGCATCTTCCTTTTACATAATGCAAGATGTGTTGACAAACCAAATCGATTGGAAATCATGTTAAATTCTGCCTCTTCCACTGATGTAAAGTTGCTGGTTAACGTTAGCAGCTAGCTAAACTGTAACGTTAGCTGCTAACTTACTAACGTTAGGTCTCACTTTGCAGCGTCGTTATTAGCCAGCTAACGTTAGGCTAATAATGAAAATACAACAACACTCAGATTATTGTTATTAGCCAACTAATAACTACAACCACATCCACAAAGATTGTAATTTACACCAAAGATTAATTGTCATACAATCGTTATTGGTGTCAGTAAAACCTATATAATTGACTAATAGTCTCAGCCTTGATAACTTGCGCAAGTAGCCGTGATGCACAACTATGCTGCACGATTAAGTCATTTTTCGACAAGAAAATCTGCAATTTCGACATGTTCAAGCATCAAGAATTATAGCCACGTTCATAATGTTTGTAAGAAACCAAACTGTTTGTAAATCCGTCAAGAATTCAATGAGATAAGAGTATTTGTGTTCGTGCTGATCACTCACCTTACATTAGGTACCACAGAGCACACCAGAAAGCCTGCCTGAGGCAAGATGGCCGCCGGTGATGACGTTTGAGACTCCGCCGTAAGACATCTAGCCTTTATTATGGATATCTATGGTTGTATTGGTGAAATTAAAGAAACACAATAAAGGAATCTTTCTATAGTGAACGTGTTTCTGTTGGGAGCAGTTGACCTCCATCAGATTATTGCTCCCTACCTCTGAGATCTCACATCCTCCGTCACCATCGTTCCTTGGTGTGATTTATGTTTTTAGGATTTGGGGAAAAAATAGAAGAAAGTTCCCATCCCTGCATCAGAGCTCTACCTTTTTGATCTGTGGACGGTTTTCCATCCTTGCAACAAAACTAGCAGCAGTAGTGGAGTTTGGAGATGCAATCCACATCTTTGTTCTCCTCTCATTTATCCAGAAGTTCTGCAATCACACTTTTTCTCTCCCTCCCAGCTTGGTGGTCGGCTGTGTATTTAGCATTCCATGGAAATGGCTTTCCAGATTTTTATTTTTTGACAACCTCTCATTACAAAGCAAAAATACAGGCAATCCTTCCGCATTGATAATGAAAGCAAATGATTCGCTCCATTTGCCCCAGTGGCTCCGGAGCTGCCGGTTGCCGACCCCTGTGCGCGCCACTTAGTTTCTCGTGCGCGCCTGATACTTTCTTGCATGATAGCACGAGTATTTCGGACAACCGTGTTCATTAGAAAATGGAATTAGATGAACTCATTGAGCTATATTTTCAGTTTAGGCTACCATACAAAGACA